TTTTTTTTTTTTTCTTGTATACGTGTGTATTGTATGTAAAAATATTCATATTGCAGAGAAAGTTACATAATGCTGTGGTAATAAAATACGATTTTTTGACAGAAAAACTCATACTGATACCCCAAAAGTGAATAAATCCTGCTCCAATATGTAGTAAATTAATTTATTTATGTTACATGTTAAATATTCATGTAGCAAACTCACAGAGCCTTGAGTATGTTCAGATCAATTGCGGAAATATCAATGTTGGCTGAATGGTTTTGGCGTTAGCATTGATCATAGATAGATGGATGTTTTGTCGTCGATCAGTATCTTGGTTTCAAGGACCCTGAAAACAACGTATTCTGACTACACCACGTGTTAGAGGTAGTAATATTTTATACAGGAACATGATTTATCCACTTTCTCTTTACCAGGGCTCGTCAAAAAGAGTTCTGTTGAAGATTCACCGTTTTCCAGCGTGTGATTACAATATTTCTCTTCTAACAAAGTAACGATGAGAAAGTAAAAACAGAGCCAGCATTGCAGTAAGTAATGTAAAAACTCGTCTAGCCTATCGTTTTTTAACTTTCCTGCATTTTGCACTTTTTTTCCATCTATCCCCTGAAAAGTGCTAAACTGATTTTACTGTAGTAAAAATCATCTTCGGAATTAGTGCAATTGTTGTCTCATATTGCGGCTTTTCTTTCACTATTAACTACTCTCCAATATATTCATGCAAGGTCATATTCATTTGACACTTCTTAAAGAATCAGAAAATCCTGTCACGTAGAAGTTCAAAAGACACATCGCAAAATCAAGCTCTCGCATGCTGTAAGAAGTACAACTCTTTACTGGAAGAAGATAAACTCTGCCTAATCACGTCTATAAACCTATTTAAACATATAATGCAACCGCAAGATATGTGAAGGAATACATCGACTGTTCATTCTTAGTATTGCAGTGAATTACAAAAAACGATCAAAATTAATTTCCATTGTACAATCGTGCAAGGGGTTAATGGATGGTTAATGATACCTGTATGAATAACTGCTGAATAATATGAAGCAGTGTAGGTTCTCGTGGTCAGCATAAATATAGATATTGACTTCAAGGCTGATATATGATGCTCTAGTGGCAATTGTTCGTTCCAAATATCAAAGTTTTTACCTGAACGATGGGACTTTTAGCTGGCCAGTGTGATTGTGGACAATAAAAGCCTGTGTGTATGGTTTACTGTAATGCTGTTACACAAGTGTGGTGCTTTAGAAGAAAGAATTTAACTAGTGCTGAAAAAAAAACAACAGCACCTACTTTTTTGCTCTATACCACAATTTCTCTCCGAATTAATGCATCTCGGTCATCATTTTTTGTAAAACTGAATCCCAAACACTTTCATTCATATTCCTGATTCCTCTATTAACCTCAGGGATAGACCAGATGTGGGAAAGGAGTTCTGATTTATGAGAGACAGAAATTTGGATCAGGGGTACTAAGAGTAACGATGATGCATGATTTTGAAGACCATAATGTAGACAGGTTATGGCTGAGATTGATTAAAGATTGGGAAATTACAATGTACTATCGGCGAAGTGTAGTGACCACCATCATCTGATACAAGACCGAGCCAATCCGATTTTAAACTCTGAAAAAATTGATAAGGCATGTGGATTGCATGAACCTGTTGAAAGTTTTGTACATTTTAACTTTCCCACAATTGCCTGGACAAGGGATGGGGCTACCCCAAGGTCTGAAGTGGAGCAGGAGCTTTGCAACTCAATGTGGATTCTGATCTTGCTTAGAAAGTTAATGAACCAACGCGATATGGAGGAAACCAAACTCCTGCTATTCTAGATCTAGTGATGACAAATGAAAAGGATTTTATAACTTCTTGGACATTGAGATCAAATATTGGGCAGTGATCATCTAGTTATTGTTACATCCTTAGAAATGGAATTACAAGATGAAGAAGAAACCTCTAAAAATGTCAGTGGGAAACGTAATTTCTTCAAAGCAGAATAAAGGGCAGTTATAAAGCATCTTAATGAATACCGTGAGTTGATTATCATGAAAAATAATGAGGCTATATGCGAACTGAAACTGCTACAAGGATGATTGTAAACTTTTTGAAAATCCACTGACTGATCATCAGAATTTACCAGACAATCTTGCTACAATAGAAAACTGGTTGAAAACTTGGCTTCTTCCACTGAAAGCTGACGAAATGTAAAGTTTTCCATCTTGGTAAGAAAAATCCAAGGCTTCCTTTCACCATCACAGGCCATACCTTGGACACTACGCGCAACAGATGATTTGAGTGTACTTATCAGTCAGAATCTAAAGTGGGAAATCAAGTTGCTGCTGTAAGCTGCCAAGCAAATGTGGCATATTTTATGAGAAAGGCATTTTCCAACCTGATCTTGTCCAATATAATGATTTACATGATGTATGTAAAACCTATGCTTGAGTATGCCAATGTGGTATGGTCCGCATACTACAAGGACATCAAGCTCTTAAAATAGGTACACAAGCTAATCGCCATGATTCCAAGAGAAGCTTGTCAAGCTGATTATTGAGCAAAATGCCAAATGATGCCTTTGTTGACACTGGAACAGAGAAGAACCAGGAGTGATGTGATAGAAACATATAAGATTCTGAATGGTTCATATAATATACCAGGGTATGGAACACTCTTTACGAGATCTGTGGGTTTGAGACTCCGCAGACAGATGATGAAGCTATGAAAAGAAAGGAGGAGGATGGGACAGAGATGCCAATGTATTGAAAAGCGAGCTATAAATGCAGGGAGTGCATAACCAGCTGACCGAGTCAGAAATAATACCCTGAATGTGTTTAGGAATAGTTTGAATACTCATTATTTTGCAAATTTCAAGTGATTCCTACGAACTGATATATAATCAATATATAATGTTTATTTTATCTGTGTATAATAATCACTTTGTTATGTATGATGTGTGTATAACAGCTTGTTGCTGCCACAATTATTAAATTAATAGTAATAATATTAATTAATAATAATAATAATAATAATAAAACTTATTACAAATTGTAGAACATTAGATGCGGGCTCCTCAGTCTAACAAGGCCTTTCATGACGAAAAACATACATTGAAGACGAGGCACAAACAACCATGATTTGGGGACTCATACATGCGACCCTTTACACCAAGGTGCTGAGTCGGCACACCCTCTAGCCACCTTGACCATCCAGGGTGGCAACAATTATAACTGTGCTTCGTTCAGTTAAATTGTGTCCCAACAATTTATTTAATTACATCAAAAACAGTTAAAACCTGTGTAAGACGTGCTGTGGGGAGAAGTTAATTTGAAGTTACATTTATGTCCAGAAGCAAAACATGGGGCCATCTCAGCATTTGCTCAAGGATCAGGGAAACTAGACGAAAATCTGATATAGATGGGGGTCACTGACCCAGAAGCTGAAGTACAATACTTGTTACAGGTTCTTTACGATTATACAATCCAAATGATGTCCAATACATTAAATGTCATTTTAAAAATTAATATTACTTTCCTTTTGGATGCTCAGTATCAATGAGAAGAAATTCACAGAACTACAGCTGCTGTCTTATGAGGCGGAATAATTTCTAGAATATATAAATATATATATTGACATCAGTCTGATCGTTAGAAGAATATCAATTTTGGAGAAAATCAGCTGAGAGGTTTAGCCTCTTGTGTTGCTCAGACTGACAGACATTTTGCCATTTGAATCAATTTTTTAGTATCAAGGCCCCAGAACATATGGAGTCTGGCTACAGCACGTCTTAGAGGACCTTTGTTTCTAAATTTAGCAACTGAATATTTTCACTTCTTCATTATCAGGGCTGCCAATGAGTTTTTCTGCCGAAAATTTGCCACTTTTCCCTGCAGTATTACATCACTTTCTCTCTACTGCGTAAGCCATAGTGAGAAAGTAAAAATACTAAGTTTCAAATACCTTATTTATTGTACTATTTTGATAGAGTTTTGCTTGTGTTATATGTTGCAATAAAGAATTTATAATTTGGCTGCTACTTTGGATACAGGTTAATCTACATCAATATCTAAACATTCGAAGAAAATAAGTATACTAAATTTATTCAAGACATTTTGAGGTGCATATAATCTGGAAAACCGAGTTTCAAAATTGAAATGCACGCTAAATTTTATTATTTCAATAAGAGTACATATTAGAAATATTGGACTAATGCTGTTCATACAGCAATCATGTGCCAGAACTCTAGCAAAACTTTGCACATCAAAGAATTGAAGCACATTCTCAGTTTTGGCCAGAAATGTTTCACATAGTGAGTGGCTTCAGTTTCTGTTAAGGACCCAACTTTAGATAGAATGCACAGCAGAAGCTTTCATTGATGATTTTGCGTGTATTTTTTGACAGATAACTTTCCTAAGCTGCACATCCTCTTACTTTTCCATAAGCATGTCTGCTGCTAGCCTTGTAGGACCACAGAAAGGCCCCTACCTCAGCCACTTGTGCATCCGCACGCCAGGAAAATTGGCACTTATACAAATAAATAAACAAGAGAAATGAGTATTTGTTCACAGTATTTGAAAGAAGAATATATGATCTAATTAAGAGAAAGCAGCTTTTTTTTAGATAAACATATTTAGGAATTATGAATTTTAGAATCCAAATGAAAATTGAGCTATATTGCAAAGTAGATAAACTACTTAAATGTAAAACTGATAAATCCTTGTGAATTTCGGCGATTTGGTATTTCTCTTGCATCCTAAATATGATCGATTTCTATTAAAAAGTACTTTTTCATTGAAATATATTTGTAGTCTCATTGTGTAGAAGGGGAAAAAATATAACAGAAGGAAAACTATTTTGTTAATTTAAGCATTATGAGCGTCAGAAATAAATTTTTCTGTAATTTGGGAATGTTGGGAACTGGTGTTATTATGGATTGGACACACATGTTGATAATACTGCTTGGCATGCCAATTTTCTTAGTATGTTGCAATATTTTATAAATATTGCAACATTGCTACTCCCATACAATTGTTAATCCCCAAATTAGTGCAGAAGTTTTTTATTTAAGAAATAATGGGCTTTCTTATTTGGAATTGCCCTTTTTAATTCGGTTGTAATATTTTGTAAAATTGTTAATGATGACATTTACTTGACTGCTTGGAGTTCTAAGATGGGTAATAATGAAGCGGTTATACATACTGCGACAAGAATTTACATCCTTAGGATGATACTAATTGACATGTGTTTATATGGTTTGTCCTCGAGTCATTTTTGAGGCCAACGTCTAACTGATCTGTAGTTGTCTAATAATAGGGAGTTTTTGCATGGTTAAGCATTTTAACAAGTGGCAGAACTATCGATTTTGTGCATGTGGAGTTCAAGTTTCACATCACTTTTGTTCATTTGTACATGCCCAGAAGGTCAAGACTGCAGGCAAGTCCTGCATGCTATGCTATGCAATAACTCCCTAAAAAACATGGAAGAATGTTGTTTGGAGGACATCAATCATCTAATGTAAATGAATTGAAATTTTTGTTTTTGATTTTTCCCTGGAAATATTTAATAGAGGTCTAAATCTAAGACTTTTCACAGCATGAAACATTTTATAGTTCACCACTCTTTAGTCACATGCAATTCAAGTTGCATCTGTGCAGAGGCTCAAAGAGGTATACAGTAAGGTTTGCACTGTGCAAAAACTCCATTGAGCCATCTAGATCTGTGATTCACAACCTTTCCCAAGCTTTGGGCCAGAGTGTGAAATTCTCGGTAGCTCAAGGGCTGCACCTGCATCAAATTTACTATGTATTCAGTTTTTTTGTGTTTTTTTTTTCCTCTTCAAATTGTTTGTCCATTTTTTATTAAAGGCCCTGGTCTTACTTTTTGTTTTCCTCTTCTTACAAGGATTTGACTAAGATATTATTATTAAGGCAATCTAAAGCTCTGTTGACACCAGCATAAAAGAAATTGGGTACTTTTCACAGACTAAGGCTGGCTTTTTAAGTAGTCACTCAGCTGAAGCACCACCACCATGAAGTACCAGGCTCCTTCACACACTGTCACTGTTCAGGGCCATTGATTGTGAGAAAGGAGGGATTCGTGAGCCACACTGCTGTGTATTCCTGTAGCCACAAAGCTATCAATATATCGAGCAGCTAAGCTCAGTGGCACAAAGCCTAGCTAAAATATTAATAATCCATATTAGTTCTATGCAGAGTATCATTAACAAAACAGTTACGACCCTTTCAACTTCACGACACTGATTTACTGACCATATGTAGATTGTGAGTTGCTTGCTCCTGATCAAGACCATTTGCATACTTCATTATTTTCCATGCTGTCCAATTAGCTGTTGGCTTGGCATTGGCTTGCCAATGGCCAATTGTTTTGCTTTTAGGAAGAGAATCATTGATTGCACCTTGTAGTTTAAATAATACATACAGGTGAGCAATGTGTAAAGTACCAAAGATTGCTCAACCAACCAACAGTGCTATGAGACTGACTGCTGGTGATTGTGGGCCTCACTTGGACTTCATTGATAGTCTGATGTCTTGAGTTTTATATTACTAGCTAATTACTAGACAATTTCTGTAATTACCTAAACTTATAAATAAAAATATCAACAACAAGAGAACTAAAATAAAATTTTCTGAAGAAGAAAAAAAAACAACTTTCTACTCTATTAGAGTTTTTAGACATTCAGTTATATGATTGGCTTGTAGATGTTACATATTAATTACACAGAGCATAAGTTACAATTCATTTTCCTTCATCTATTTAGCATTTTTATATTAAAAATCAATGTAATTGTTGACTTGCGAGAATTGATGATTTATGGTTACTCGAGTAACTAGAGGAAATGAGCTCCATGGATAACATCTTGCCAGGTAATCTGGTAATTTTTCTCTCTTCCTCAGATAGGTCTGGTAAGACATGTAAATTAAATCCCCAAGAAAGATTACTTAGTGGCTTGTGTTGTAATCCAAACATGTCTTGTATATAATAAGTTCTCATGAAATATATACCAATCATGAATTTTGCTGAAATGAGAAATTATGAATTAGTAGAAAAGAAAAAAAAACTATTACTTCACAGGTCCATGGTATTAATGTAACACATGGTAATTTAAAGGTAACACCACTTCACATTGCTGTCGTTTTGGTCATTTATTCTGCCTTCATCAGGGATATAATAATAGATAGAAATAATTACACGAGTGTATACAGTAACCATTTACATTTGTAGATACAAATTGTTGGCACTATATAGGTGTACCTGTAACATCGTACATTCTATGATTTCTTCTGCTCTGTTTTTCGTATAAGTGTTGTTTTTCGTACATTGACCTCAAAAACCCCATGACATAATTCCAATGGGTGAAAAATAATTTAATATATTAGAATTTAAAAAATCATTTGAAGCAGAAATATTTTTTCTGCAAATCCATAGGTACAGAAGTTTATTTCAAATGAAGTTTTAAAAATGCTCATAGAAATGAATGAAGACATGTTAAGTTTATGTACCATACATCTTTCCACACAAAAATAGTGGATGACTCACCACATGTAGAGAAATTTTAATTGGAAAATGAGTTTTTTTTCCTGCTTTTAGATAAAGTTTTAAAACAATGATATTTTTCCAAATTGCAAATCTAGATTTAAGATCAGACAATTTTTAGCTACTAGAAATTGGTAAGTATTGTAGATAAGAGAATGCTAAAATATTCTTAAGCTATAGATAAGACAAGTACAAATAATATTTAAAAGAGT